TGGTATACGTCGCTACGAACGATGTCAATTCAGACTGTGGTCGCCCAACTTTCATAGGTGATCTAAATCTCTAAGAACGCCTCCAAGATCTATCTGCTTCAGATTCTTGTTACATTTCTCGATCAGTTCCATGGAATTATTACGGGTGTCAATGCGAATGCTGCCCGCTATCTCATTATATGAAACGTGTGCTTTCCAGAGGCGGTTCACAATAGGGTTCCAAAGACATCTGGCCCACATAACTGGATTTACCCCCTTGTTAGTTTGTCAAGATCGACCTACTCTGCACTTTATCTTTCTTTACTATTTGAAATGCGATCTCTATCCACTATATGTGCATCGATGCATTCGAGATTTCGAGCCTCGTCGCTTGTTAATTTAGCCTCGCATTCTTAGCCTAGCATTTGGCGTATTTTATAATAGCATTGTCAAAGAACGGAGTTTTCTCTACATCCGCATCGCTGATCAGTTTCTGCCCTATAAGGTTCGTCCTGTCAGTGCTTACTGCTTGGCCAATTCCAGCTTCCGCTTCTATTCAAGCCTGTCAATTCACTAATGAAAATGCCAAAACGGTAAGGTTGGTTTGATACCTTCTAAACAACAATTTGGGCATCTATATTTCCTTCTGTCTTGTTCTTGTTCGACCAAACTATTTCAAAACTTGATGAATTGAGAATCGCCTTGACCAAAATAAAGTGTGAGGACTAAGGACAGTGTGGACAGTTGAACTCGTCAGCGAGCTAATTACCATGATCATGAACGAGTCCACTTTCCTGATTATCTTCCAATATTAATTGCCATGCTCGCGTTGATATCGTCACATGAATCCTATAGCTTCCTAAACTCAATATACACGATACCTCTATCCAAGCTCACCCAACACCTCACCAGTCCACTTCCTCCCGGGTGCGCGCCATTTACCCCGCAGAGCTAAGACTTTTTTAAATGCAGATTGTCAGCACAATATAGACACAATCGACATGAAGATCAATGTTTAAGATAGTTATACTTTTTCAATCCACCTCAACCGGTACGCTTTGATCAATATTACATACTACTGTTAATAAATTTCACCTTGTGCTCACGCTCTTGGCTACAGTCTGGCTTGGCTCATCACTAAGCCGAGTCATCAAGACAGCATGAATGTGGACTGAGGAGTCGTGAAAACTCAAAATATCCTCATTATTCCCGCATGTGCAAGGAGAAAACCCACACTCTTTGCTCAAGCTACAGGAACCCTTCTTTGCTGCAATGAATGCAGCACACTAAGATTTAGACTAGAACTTTCTTGAGTAGTCAAAACGCGAGGCCGCGGTTCAACCGATGAAGATCCAGCTATCTGATAAAAGTGCATGCGGTATCCATCTACATATCATAGGTCGAATAATGCCCCCCCCCCACCAGTCGCCTAGCCACATGCCATCTGAGCGCCACGAAAGCACAATACACATAACTTCCCCGTTGTATATTGCGCCTCACAGTGTCTTTCAGCTTCTCACGATGAGTATACCAATAACATCACATTCCTATCACTTGCTAACACACACATAGTCCGGACACTTACAACACTCTTGTCTAAGCATGCAGGTAAACAGCACTGAGCAATGATTCGCTACGTCGTATGTACACCTGCCACCATCAGCGTTAGCGTCTACCTTGTCCACATACAACAGGCACTTAAATATCCCTATAATATACCCGAGCCCAAGGCAAATCCTGCGAAAGCCAGTACGTACACACGGACAACTTTAATTTGTGGCGGCAAAGAAAAGACGTAATCTTCAGCCCTAGCTACGGGCCTTTTATATACCAAATTCATGCAAACCCTTGAAAATCGCAGTGTACAAAATCACCTGGATTTTAAAGAGGTGGAGGCTCGAGCTCTTTTTGGCGGGGTACATCCACCAACATTCACAACTAAGCCACCGACACAAATTTTGTAGGTTCTACAAGGTGCCTGGATGTGAAGTTGATGGTTTTTCATGCCGTTCGTCGAGTGTAACGAATCATTGATAACCTATCTAGATGCCTGCACTAAATTGAAATCATTGACACACTGGGACGAGGAGCGTAGAGAACGTAGAATTTTTAGTCCGAAAGTTGTAATAGCCTACAAACATTCGAATCGTGGGTTTAGGTTGTTTATCCAAGATTAGATACGTATTGGTGAGATTTGCAAAGCTCAAATAGTAGACTAGTTCTGGGTAGACTACGATCTATCAGATCCAGTCAGGGTCCAGGCACCGTAACCATACTGTTGGTAAATGATGCTACAAACCTCCTTCCCATCGTGGAAAATATCAGTAAACTAGATAAGCTACCCATCTACTTGGTAATGCAGGAAAATGTTACGGAGTGGTGCCGAAATTATATCAAATTAATATCAGACTATTTCATACCTCTGGCCATTCCAGTTCTCGTATTTGCTTTTTAGTTTCTAAATGCCGGCGGTGCACTGATGATAGATACCGTGCGCGGGGGTGGCGTGAAAATAATCATCTTCTTTGCTTTTGGGGACCAGTAGATCAGTGCTTGTGGTAGGTCGTGTTCATTCGATTTCTTGCTTGAGATTGAAATTTGTATGTATGCGTGATGTGATGGCTCACATCACATAATTTGACTCCGACATGATGTCTCAGTGTATGAGACAGCGAGCGCTTTCTCCGCCTCAATCAATGGGAAGAGTGGAACTGCCTGGTAAATCTGACAGGAGATTTCCAAAGGTGGACCAGGAAACCTGAGTACGGTAGAAGTATCTTCAGAACATCAGTTGTTTGCGTTGGAAGTCAGTGAATGTCGATCATTGCCGAGGTGCCTCGCTGAATTCATATCCCCAAAGTCATACTAACAATCTGAAATGGCGCTTATTAGCCCTGAAGATGAGGGGTTGAAGACTCTCAGTCTGGATGAACTGCTAAGAGTTCACCAACAGTTTAAGCCTCGGAAGTCCAGGCGACTCGTCTCCTCAAGAGATGTTTTGATGCTCTGAGTCAAGGGTCAAGCCATCAGAACCATCGATCATTCTGGGCAATCTTTTGGGCAGTAGTCTCGCTCGAGTCTCGCTCATCACTCGGAATTGATTATTCCCGCAATGACTATTCATGCCCCAGCTGAATAGCCTCATTGCCGCCGTTCTCAATTATTATCACGCCACGAATCGCGATAGGATTGTGATAACACAATTATTGTGCTATACGGAGAGCCGAGGTTACCGGACAGTGACGGGCCACACTGTGATACCGAATCCATCTCGGATCCAGATTGACCGATTTTCACAATTCTCCACTTTCAACAGTGGGTAAAGAACCCTTTCCCCCAGCCTATTTTTACACGGCTTTCGGACTGCCCATATCGTTTCACCTCTCTGATTCATCTCATGGATAGTGTCCTTTTGAGAGTTTGCACTAAGCCATCTTGATATCCGTCACTTCCGTCAGGTAAATTAATGGCCTGTTTTTCGCACTCGCAAATTACTGCGGCTAAATTAATGACATCTCTGTCTGAGCTTCGACATGAGTAAACGATATAAAATGATAATATGTGATATGTGGTCCTCAGAATTTCATTTTCGTTAATGCGTCTTGCGTGTCTCATCACAGACAGTCTTAATTTCCTGCACCTTTTGCTCATGACCACCGAACAAATCCACAATCACTCCCGAAAAACGGGGCCACATCTTAAGTTTTTCCAAGTATGGCATTAAGATATGGGGCGAGCTTCTCGGTACCAAACAAAGCCTTTGGAAGCTTCTTCACGCGGATGTGGAGCTGGTACCGGTCTCCGGTATAGCGTTGTTACAAGGACCAGACGGAGCCGTCATGCAGTTTCGTGGTGAAATTGGCGATGTAAGTTTCAGGTCTGCGGTGATGAACTTTGTGTTCCAAGCGAGACTCGAAAATGGGGGTATCCTCCACGTGTGCTCCGAACACATATCCGACTGTAGGCAAAAGCCGGGGGTTAGGTATGGATGGTAGTGAATGAAATCTAGTATCGATATATGCCACATGTTGAGATGATACGTTATGATTTCGAATGCATGCAATGTGGTTGAGGAAACTTTCCACGGGTGGGCCTGTCGTGCAATGATGGTTAGGGGCCAAGAACATCGTAGTAGATCAAAGTGCTCCAATGATTGTCTTATCGTGATAGAAAACCAAGCTGCCAGAATTCTTCTAATAGAGAAAAAGATGCAGCTGTGATTGTGGACCGAAAGTAGCCATTCCACATTTTGCAGCCACTATAGAAGTAAATAGCTTTCATCAGGGCTGGCTGTCATCTTGCGCGACGCAAAACGGTGGTCTGGATAGTCACCAAGTGGTCACTTTTAAATAGAATTTGTCTTCTCTTATTGGAAGGTTCCTTCCGTCGTATCAGCGACGATGAACACCGAAGATGCCATTACCCGTTATGTGTTAATCATGCATTTGTTACACTAGGACGCGTTTCGCGCAAAGTCTTGCTTTCGAGTATGCAGTGTCGACTGAACGACTGGCTTTGTCTCTCACTGGATGTTTAAGATGGGTGTCTTGCCGCATCTGAAAAAATCAAACTGTAACTATAAAAATCGTAAAAATTGTCAGGATATTCACTATAGTGGCTTCGAGGATTGAAATGATTAAGACCTGGATCAAAGGAGAGATTGCGATTCATAAATTCGAGAAGTTTTTGGCGGAAGAGCCCAATAGGTAAGGAAAGGTTCTCATGCAAGAAAATCATATTGGTTCATTCGGTTGCAGCGGTATCACCCGAAAATTGAACTTTCCCAAATTAGAACAAAAGCAATTGAAGGATCATTGGCAATGGCCCAGCACTTGAGGTTGATATACGTTACTTTTCGAAATGCCCAGTGAGGCTGTTGTTACACCTATCATATATGTGCCTCGAGGCTTACATGCACTGAAAGACTCAGGAAGCGATGATATTTTCATTATGTTTGGGAAGATATATTCCCTTCCTATTGTTGCATAACCCAGCATCATCAATTCCACGACTCGTTCGCAATGACAGCTCCTGTAGCAGCATCAGCCAACACTCACAGCCCATGGCTCATTGCCAGGGATCGCTTTGTCGAAGGACTTGATCCTGCAGAGCGGGCACTATCTAATGAGGCTACGCCAGAAAATCTTTACTACAAATCCAGCAACATCCAAAAAGCCGATCAAGAAAATAGCAAAACTCGATCAGTTTTGAGGTCTCTCGGGCCTTTGACGAAATCAATCCAAGATTATGGTGCGGCGATGGATACTTTCAGCAATGTTGCTCCGTTGTACCTTGCTCCAATATGGGGGAGTCTTCGTGTTATACTTGTCCCAGCTTGCAGCCACGGAAAGTTTTATGATAGAATAATAGACACTCTTGCTCGTGTGGGAAACATACTTCCACGATTGCGTAAGTACAATTATCTTAAATGCTTTTTATATTCTAATACTCCATAAAAGGCGACTATCAAGCAATTTTTGGCCAGGAAAATTATCCAGAATTTATCCAAATGTTGTCAGCAACATACCTCGACATAATTACTATATGTTCTAAGTTCAAACTTGTATTGAATGAGCAGAAATCTTCTTTCATGAAGCGTTTGGGGTCTCCCTTGTCCACAACTCTTGGAGCACAACTTGACAATGCTGTGCAAACATTTAGACAGCACCGTGAAGCAGTTGAGGGTCAAGCTCAAGTGTGCCATATGATTGAAACGATGAAGTCCAAAGAAATTCAAGTGAGAGAAAGTGCGCGGAGCAAAGAAGAAGAACGAAGTAGGTCGTTTTGTAGGCTACTATATGGTTGTTTCAATTTCAGACTTCGTAATAGGACATAGACAACGAAGAATCGTCTCCCAGATGGCCACAGTTGATTGCAGCAACAAACATCGTCGACTACAAAAAATAAGGTATCATGGGACCGGGAGCTGGCTAGCTAGTGTGACCGAGTTTAGGGATTGGAAAATCCAGAATAAATCTTCTGTCATGTCATGTTATGGGATTCGTAAGCTGCAGGTACTGCACATGGAATGATAACTACTAAATTCTACCAGCTGGATCCGGCAAATCGGTCTTGGTCTCGAGCCTTATAGACGGCTCCAAAATGTCCTTTCCTGCCGACACTACCATTTCCTATTATTATTGTGACTATGCTGACAAGAGAACACTCTCTCCCAGTAACCTTTTTAGTTTCATCTCTTAGAAATTGTTTCGAAGCATGGTCAAAATTCCTGATACTCTGATGAATATCCTCGAAGCTGAATATCCAGACGAGACATCATCACCCGGTCTAGATCAAATCGTTGCGTTGTTAATAAAGGCAATAGATGAACTATCAGCTGTGGCTATTTTCATTGATGGCCTAGACGAACTGCCTGAGTCCGATCGGAGGCTTACGTTTTCATTGTTGAGAAAGATCCTTGATGAGGTCATATCACCAGTCAAATTATTTGTTTCTAGTCGCGAGGATGTCGCTTATCTTTTTCAAACTTCATCCGATCTCACCACGTTCAAATTGCACCTTCAAACGGAATCTATCTCTCCAGATATTGAGGCATATATCATACATGCCATCAATGAGTTGTTCACGTCTGGCGACTTGGTGCTGGGTAATTTGGCTCTTAAAGAGGATATCTTCAATGCTCTCAGAGATGGTGCAAAAGGAATGTGAGTGTTTTTTTCCAACTCCGCTATGCTAGTATACTGAACTTCCTTCAAGGTTTCTTTGGGTCCAATTCCAGCTCGAGGAACTCTGTCGTATGGAAACGGATGCAACAATTGTAAAAGCTCTACAGAATCTTCCTCGCAACCTTGAAGAGACTTATGATCGACTTCTTGGACGAATCATCGAGATCGAAAGGCGTGAATTCGTGAAAAGGATGTTTGACTGGATTGTTTGCTCATGTAGACCATTGCACATGGATGAGCTCCGGGAAGCCATAGCTTTCACTGTTGGCGATAAATCATGGGATGCTACGAAAATACCCAATGACCTTCGACGATTAATTAGAGCTTGCGGAAATCTTATTGTGATTGATGAAGTCACACTAGAGGTGTATCTTGCGCACTATACAGGTAAGAAGTTCTATACGTCAAATCATGTAAGAAAGTTAGAGATCTCTGTTGATTACTTTTTCGACAGCAGTCTGTGCGAGGAATCAATAGTAGCTGATCGTAAAACATTTTATTAGTTGAACAGTATATCCCCCATTCGCAAAATTCCGAGTTGGCATACTTTCACACCACAAGAGAAGCGTCAAACAGAGCACTGGGTGCAACATGTGTGACTTATTCATCTTTCACTGATCTCGAAGCACAAGTCACAGTATACCACAATACTACCAGTCCCAACATGACGTTGTTACAGGACGCCGTTACCACCCAGCCTTTGATACCGAGGGCTTCACAGTCGTCAAATTTACCGTTCAAAACCGCCAAAGCTGCTTTGATGGTTCAGAAATTCAACAAGGATCATGGAAGTCACATCGATTATTCTCGGCATATTCAAATTCGAAAAAAAGGAATGACCGACCAGCAGTTTCTCGACAAGTATCGGTTGATCGGGTACTTGAAAGAAAATTGGCTTTCATACACCAAAGATCTCACAGTGGATACTCTTGGAGAGATAGGAGAATTATTCAGAAGATTGCTCTTCACCAAACAACTCACCTTTTCATTCAAGCCCTGGGAGAGGCTTTCTTTCAGGGATCGTGACGAGATTGCGCCTTTATGTTGGGCCATAGCCGAAGAGAACTTACCATTACTGAAGGAACTCTTAGTAAATGATAGGAGGATCGTTGATTACATCAGTGAAGCATGTTTGTCGTTCTGGAGCACCATAGGATACCACAAAAAGGAGGGGGGCCGACACGGGATCGACATACCGGACAAAAGTCTCATGGTATTGGAACATCATTCCCTTGAAACATATCTTCGAAACTGCACTGTATTTTGTGGCTCTATGGCGGGTTGATTATCGCCTGTCGCCGAGGAAATAGCCAACTCCTAGATATATGTGCTGAGTTTATTGATCAAAGACAAATGCCCCGCTTTACCGGGGCTCTAGTGCAACCAACATTAAGATCACTTGTGCTTTCGCATCTCTGCCTAGAAGCTACAATTCACGTTCACCTGATTCTCATACAAAATCTCCAAGCAGATACGTGCTTTTCACCAAGTGTATCTTACGAGTACAAAGGAACTTACTTCAACTCCTTGGATCGAGCAATGACTCTTCCGTGTGATGAAATAGTCGATTCACTCTTGAGGAAAGATTGTCCAGTGTCATACAAAGCCAAGCTTACTGCTCTTCAAACCAGAGATCTACAAGCTCTTATCGAATCCGGTGATTTTACAAAATTCAATCATTTTCTTCAATTCCTGTTCAAGAGCGATAGAGTGAGTGGTAGCTCGCCTCCATTCTTTGGAATTGATGACCAGTCATATATGCAAGATGTCAGAAGACATAAGCACAACGCTATCTTCACCGCAGCTTCTTTAGGTTTTTGTTATCATCTCAAAATGATACTTCAACATCAATCCGCGAGTGCTTATGCCGAAGATATTATTGAGAGAAACATAGCTTTTTTGGCAGCTATAAATTCCTCGCAGCCTCATACCGTTTCGTGGTTGGTGTTTTCTGATATACATAGAGATAGTTTTTACTGGCTGGAGCCGATGCCTTCTGAAGTCTACGACCAGGGCTCAAAGAGCATGTCTTTATTGAAGTATGCTATTCATTTGCAAGAGATCTCAGAAGAATTTAGGCAATTCGTCATTGATGCAACGTATAATGCTAGCGTTACAGCTGATTCAATTTCAAGCTGATCTATTTTCGAACGGCTTATTTGGATGTTGACAAGGGCAGTTGCCCAAAATAAGCCAGAACAGGTCACTCTCTTTGGAGGTCGTAAATATTTCAACCAAAGATACGAATGCTTAGCTTCAGACTTACCAGATCTGCCACGGGAAGTCGAGGAGTATATTTGGCCACATAGCCATGACCATGAAAAGCCTAAAGCGACCGTTCCGTTGATATGGGCTGTCATCTACAATCGACCCAAGATTGTGGAAGCCCTGCTTTCGGAGCCACTTCCGAGTTATGATGACGACGTAATTGAAGCTGCTACAACATGTGCTATTATGATGGATTTTGCGAAAATAGTTATGCTGTTCGAGCTGGTCCATACATTATAAATTGTGGCCCGAATACATTGGAAGAAGGGAAGACTTCAAACTTCTTTTTAAACCGCGACCTACTCGACCGTGTCTTTGCACGAGGAAGGTACCACGGAGCGAACCCTCATCTGAAAGTTGCACGCTACATACAATTTTAGGGCCATGATCACCGAAACAATTCGGGCTCTCATTCTCCGAGAATGAGGTTACTCCAAGAGTATCTAGAACAACCCAAAAATGCAGAAGCAACATCGATTGCGGACGACGATTCTTTTGACATGTTTGCATAAGCAATCTACCAGGCTTCTCTTCGCAGGCGAATTACCGTTTGATTAAAGAACGCCTAGCTTCCTGTGCTATTTTGTCTCGTATATATAGAGGAGGCAATTATTGTAATAGTAATAAAGTCCTAGCACAGTTCAAAGCAGAATTATCTATTAAGAAACTCCTGCTACACTAGGGATCATATATAAGTGTATCTCTAAGCTCAAGGCCCAACAATACTCTGGATATCATCCACCCGTCTCTCCTCAATCCACTCAATAGCCTCTTTCCTATTCCTACAAACATGTGCTTGTCCCTCCCCAGTAGCATCAAGAACACTTTCACTTCCCTCCAGCGTCATATCTGCCATACATAATATCTGATTGCGCAAATATTCGAAACAATGCGAGGCATGCATATCATTTCGAGCACCGTCGAATCCAAAAGCTTTTCCAGAAGAGAGAACCAGTTGATGATAAGTATCTACTGTATAGTAGAGCTGTTATGTTGGTCAGTGAAGAGATTCACGGGAGGAGGAGAAAGAAGAGAAAATACGCAATGTAAAGCATGCGTCCATGATGCTTCAAATATAGGACCGGACCGGATGGGGTCATCGACGATAGGTTTACCTAACATGGGATGTTGTTCGTAATCGGGGATTTTGACAGTTCCACTACCCACTATTCAAGGTCAGTGTTTATCTTCAACCTCGATTCTATTCATTTGTCACTCACATGGCATCAACATATCCCAATTATGACGAATTTGCATTCGATCATCATTACTTGTCATATTTGGGAAGAAAGATGATTCCTCTCCTTTGAGGAGTGTCCACTTATGAGATTCTATCCCAGAGAATTAGCATTGACTTCTTCGCAAGAGTGAAATATGGACTTACGAGGAATATAAAGCCCATTAATATCGCCACCAGTTTCTGTATCGGCTGGTACCCAGCCCTCATTATCCGCCTCACTCTTTTTTCCACCCCCCAATAATAAATATGCAATCAAACCCTGCATGACGATAATAACACCCCATCTTGCCCACACCAAAACATTCCTCAATTTCCTACATGACTTTTTGTCTTTGAATATCTTACGGAAACGCGAAGGGGAAGAAGATTTTGAGGTTGTGTATTCTGCATGTAATCCGAGGGTGGTGTCGGAGTCATGTTCAAGATCAATGTCTTCGATGTCCATCTCAGCAATGGGTTGGTAGACACTGGCGGTTTCTTTTGGAGACATTTCTTTTTTTCTTTTTTCTTTTCAGAATATTTGGCTTGTAACTAGCCTGTCTCTGGGGAGATGGGGCTAGGGGAGGGAAGAAAAGAAATTTGAGAACCAGCTCTTTGACAGAATTGAAGGATCAAAAGTTTACACGCGAAGCAGACAAGTTATTCAAGAAAGTTGACTGAGAAAATACAAGAACCAGTTCTCGTTGTGCGTAAGAGAAGTAATGGAAAAGGTGACAATGATAGTGCAGTACAATAGGATGAGCTTCACGAGATCAAACGACCAAAACCACACCATAAAAACTTCCACAAATTTGCCATTATCTCGATTCGTACTCCATTCCCTCTCGACCCATAACCTCGAGTTTTACAAGTTATACCAATCGAAATCCTTCTTTCCAACGTTCCATGTTATTGCATTTTCGACAACGCTTCCATGCTAGCATCAGACAAGACTACGTCTTACAGCATGAAGTAACAACGACATGATACAAAACATCTGCACGACTTGCCTTCACCATCCTTTTCTTTTAAATGACTATAGTTCTTATTCTGGCCGTTGTATTGGAAATAGACTGTTGAATGGTATTTTTAGTCTTGATCTGATGTAAAACATCGATTTCTAAAACTTGACTTGTCGGGGAATCCCTGCTTGGATAACTACCGATCTAGGGGTAAAATAAGCGGGGTAGGAGTTCGATATTCGACAGGGTGGGGGATGCGATATGAGTGTTGTGTTGGTATTGATATCTTCATTGTTCTATTATCGTTGAGAACCTGGTGATTAAAATTTCTATCAAAATTATTCGGAGGATGGGAGGGTCGGGTAATCGGGAGCCAAGTAGGAATCACTTCATGCCTGAAATCAAGTGCTTCAAATGTAGCTGCGCTATTAAATATCTATTTTGTAATTCTTATCTATACAGTCGAATCATGGACATCCGTGTTGTTATCATGCGTTTCCATGATTCCTACCGAATTATCCATGGCCCAATCTACAATGGCATCAAAATTTCTACAAACATGCCAAGAATTGAGTTCAGGCCATGGAAGAGGATCATCTTCTACCATGTAAAGTGTGAAGACTCCAACGTCTGCATTGCATTGTACATTCATGCGTAGGATCTCTAGGCAATGATCTGAAAGTTGATTGTTAGAACTGCTCATGAATGAAGGGGTAAGTAAGCGAGGAGTACTTACCGGTGTGCATTTGAAGGCCCTTTTGTCCTCCCTTGAACTCTCCACTGATATCTTCGTACCAGTCTCTATATGTGACTTGTCGGAGAAGATTTATACAATGTAACTGATGAAAGACTTCTAGCCCGACTCGGTAACCTTCGACTCCAGTCTTTGGATCCTTGACTTCCAGATGTGTGTTTGGCATCCCGATTTTATCGAGTTGATCTGGTAAAATCATTTGATCCCCAACTATATGCATGTTAATCTAGTGAATTGAGATCGAGGGCGAATGAGTAAACCTACCATCGTATGAGATAGCACTCCATGCTTTGTCAACGTCTGGTCCGTAGCCCACGTACGGTGACCCAGTTCCCATGGTATTATTGAATTTAACTTTTTGGTACTCAACTGCTTTTGCAGCGGGAGCTGATCGTTTGAATTAGTCCAAAAATCTTCCGTTCATCATGAAAAACTACTTACACCATGCTGAATACTCCTTCACGTGTTTAAGCGTTGTTAACCTGGTACAATATGCCGATATGAATAACGCAAATGAAAATGAAAGCAGTACAGCATGTACCAACCACATCCACCGGTTATCGTACGTATGTCTAGGCAATGGCATGGATTCTACGTCCTGAGCCTTTTCATCATACTCCGAGTTCAACAACGTTGAATTCAAGCTATCAGTAGATCTTCGACCGAGAAATACATCGATGAACTTCTCATCGTTATCAACTCGATGGTATTCAGCCGACATTTTTTTTTGACCGTATCTTCGTCGACGGAGCTCGGGTTGTATTTGAACAGTCAAGCAACTGGAAGAAACCAGAAGTAATTATATAGATGGTAGCTTAACCAGAAGTAAATTCAAAAACAATAAGGGAAGAAAAGACAACGTCCAGCAATGAGGAGAGGAAGGGAAAGCGAAAACAAATGTACAAACCTTCAAAAACTTCAGATGAAAATAGCAAATATCCATAAGGTCAATAGGTTATCATCGTTATTGCATTGGGCTGATTCCAACCGTTGAATTAATCTGCCACGATATTCAATACAGCAAATGTCTCATCTGAACATGGAAACCTTTCCTCTGATGTTTGAGAATTGTGACACGAGAGAATTGAAAGTAGAGAAATGGCAGCAGTCCTGGGGTCTTTTAGGCTATTCTAGCTGGGTGAAACTACAGGACAGGCCCACGTTTTATGTAAGCGGATGCTCCATCCCAGCAAAAAATCATCAACGACTAAAAACAAAAATCGATGTCGTTGGTACAATATTATCAGCTTGATGCATTTAATAAATCAGTAGCTACTTGGTTGTATGTGGATCATATTCACGGTAGTGTCGTTGATTTATACATCAATATATCAGAAGTTCGGTTGGCTCCACTTAGAAGTCTAAATCAGCCCTGAGAATGCTTGTTGCTTTCACAGTGTCTGGGAATCTATCGTTCTCATTCGAATCTTTACAAGGCTTCTTAGTTGCATCTGACACGTTTAATATCTAAGATTCAAGACAGTGTGCATGTTAGCTAGGCTATACCTTCCTCTCATTTCCTAGATGTTGATTAATGCCGCAACATATTGCAAAAACCGTCTGAACTTTCTGAACTTGGTCAGCGGTTATCAATCCTCCGCATTTACTTCAGATGAGACTATCGTTTGACAATTTATGGGTACTTGGCCTTAAAATAGCTGTTATTGATCTATCTCAAGCAATACAATGGTGCAAGTCCACCTCGTCATTCACCAATCACAGTGAGCTGACTGCAGCGTTGTATACGAAATCGATTGCGACTATCATTCACATTTTGTCTCGAGTACCCTAGAGGCGGGAGCAACTTGTACCAGCATGCTGGATCTGGTCCTAAGTCGGGATACCGTCTGAAGAGATCTATGACAACATACACCCCTATCTTATCTGTTTGGCATTGTTCTTGTATATGTATAAAGTCGCTCTGATTCTCTCAAGCCTTCTCCATTCTCACACCACTTCTCACGCCATCTTCTGAGCTTCATTTCTTACGTCTATTCTCTACACTCATTCATTCACTCACTGCCGGCCAGTACCCCTGTTAGATTTCTAAACTTTATTATTCTTTGTTTCACATACACTTCACTTCAATCATCATGCATACTCCATCCATCAATATTTTGCTCGCCGTGGGCCTTCTATTCTCCACCCCGTTCACATCGGCTCTTACTATCCCTTCTATCGAGAAGAAGTCTATCGTAAGTCAATTCCTTAGATGCATGAGACCGTCACTAACAAATCATAGGCTGGTACGGGCATAGAATCCATCGAGACTCGTGACATTCCTGTTCTCATCAATCGTCATCACACCGAGGCCCAGATCGCAGCCAAGGGGTCAAAGGCAAAAGGAAAGGGACAACGCGATGTTTTGGAGAGAGAAGCACATCACACCGAAGCACAGATTGCTGCCAAGGAAGCCAAGGCTGGGAAAAAGAATGGACGCGACGTTGTAACCAGACATCATACCGAAGCACAAATCGCTGCTAAGAAGGCCAAAGCTTCTAAGAATCAACGCAATGTTACCATCAAGGAGCGCGAGCCTCATCATACCGAAGCACAGATTGCCGCTAAGCAAGCCAAAGCTGGTAAAGCCAAGGGACAGTAAATTTAGCTGGATTAATGTATATCATTGGACTGTGTCCAATGATTGGATAGACGGGAATCTGAGAAATTTTATTGTATCTCATTATAGGTGTACATGAATGGGCATTTCGGAAAGATGGGGTACTAGTGTCGTTATATAATCATAAAAAACAATTCAATGGGATAAATTGTGGAACCAATTTCTATGTGACTATACATCTCTATCTAAATTCGCCTTCTTTTGTACCAGCCGTAAAAGCAAGTCACATCATGGCCATTTTGAGAGGCACTATATTCTTTGAAACAGTGAAAACTACGTATAAATCATGGAGTTTCCTGACGCTTCAAAAAGCTGCCCCAATACTGACAATGAAAGCCATCTTTTCGTTCCTTTCCTATCAAATAGAACTCCCATGACCCATGATTCGTAAAATAGTAGAAGATAACAGGCTAATATTCTCATGTGGGAAGTAGCTATCCTTGTGTTGCTGTGGAAACAAAATTTAAAATAATAAATCGGAATTTTGGGATACTGTATGCTCATGGTGCCGAGCAATCAGTGTCACCTAGTGTCCTTTTGATAGTCAAACAATTCACAGGTATTACCTAGGTAAGAGGGGGAGACGTCAAAAATCATGTTACGTGGGAAAAATAGATTACGTTCAATAAATTTCTAGTATCTACTCTAATCTCTATTTCAATCCAAACGCCCAAGCACCCAAACACCACTTTTCCATATCTACCCAATCAAAGTTTTCAAATCCCCAAAAGTCGATATTTCCAAATAGAAGGCGTCTCGAATTTCAGTCTTGAGCTCTTCACGCAATCTCTGAGATATAACAAGAGACATGAGTGAGTCCAGTCCGAAATCAGCCACGTTTGCATCATCAGTCAGCACTCGGATATCAACGGCCAACTCCTCAGCTATAATTTCTTTAGCACGGAAATAAGAGCCTGACGCTTCTTTTTTCGGAGGTGGTGATTCATGTTTGCTTTCTTTTTCGTGGACGCTCCGCGTTGGTGAAGGGGGAGTCAATAGACCAGTGACGATCCTGGAGTCACCCGCGAATGGTGATTGTTGGGACGATTGCGACTTGGAGTTAGTGGCATCTGAACCCAACGAAGCGAGAGAGAGGGCGACTTGAGAGGCATCTAAGGTATGAAATGCAGCCTTGAGGGGAGGAGGGCGGAAGAAGCGATCTAACATGACACGTGGCCATTGAGTGAAGACAATGGCTTCGACAACACCGACAATCTCGTCTCCTTGAAGAATGTAGACGTCACCAACAAAGTTATTCTTATCCGCAGGGACCATTCGGACATATGCTAGATATTTCCCACCGGGTGCAAGCGGCTTCGCAAACCTCATGGACTTCCATGATGGCGTGATGTAGAAGTATTTGTTGTTATCGAAATGCGTGCCTCCATTCAGAATGAAACCTGATAAGGAAACGCATCCATCAATGAAATGAGGAGGTACCGTCCAATTACCAGCCGTATCGGCAGGAAACTCCACTTCCGCAACAGCTTCATCTTTATTCAGAATTACTGACTTCATTGTCCGATACATGTCCGAGTAGCCGACCAATTTTCCAAAGAGACTATATGCAAGATTGGTTGTCAATTTATCGGCATGACCGTGAGCGGCTAGATCGTTGAGAGCTGCAATGCGACTTGTTACAAGGCCTGATGAGCGAGACCATGTTGATAACCAAGATGATGGATCTTCGTAAGAAATAGTTGCATGACAATACCATAGATTTTTGGCGGGATTGTACCATTTTACATGAGCCTGTCTTTTTTCCAAATCGGCTTCGGCACTCACCACAATTGGCTGAGCTTCTGTTGGATTGTAATGCTTGACCACAGGTTCATGATACTCGAAGTCGGTAACGTTGATACCAATATTAGACGAATTTGGAATACCTTTATCAAGGATACGTTTTGCGACTGTGAAAGCCATATCTGCATGAAGGAACTGCTGATGTTAGAAAAGAAGTTCTATAGTCAATGAATACAGATCAGTAAACTTACAGAAGAAGCAACTCCGTAATTGTTCATAGCATGTCCTTCGATAACGTCCTTGAGCGCTGGATCTGTCATATCCGACTCAGTCACGATCTGGGCTGAGGTTTTAGTGTAGTTCTCCGAGCGAATCTCGTGGATGCTTGTAGTGCGAAAACCCTTGACAGCTTGAGTTATGACCTTTGTGAAGTTGGGATCTGATAGCGCTTGCCCCTTGGTCAAATTCCAGTCTCCACTGTATTGAATCCAATAGTTCTTGTTGTTCCATGCGTATGTTGGGGAGTCGACTAGTCGAAGAGCCTTCTCGAAAGGTAAGTGGTACTCTGTCCAATCGATTGCTACGCCGGTATTATACAGAGAGGTGAGCGCCTTTCCGAGCGTGGTCCAATTGTCTTGATCTCGGTGCATTGTTGGAGATGTCAATCGAGTATCCGATAATGTCTTTGCGATGAAGCTAACACAACAAGGGTGGTGACCGATCTCTAACCAGAGGGTGGATTTGGATAGAACGCCAGATTCCCAAGCAGCATTGAGTCCGCCAACATAGTCGACTGTTTCTCGAGTAGCCTTGGCCAAGTAACTGACATCGATCCCAGATGTAAGAACTTTGGAGTGGAGAGGTGATATGACTGGGATTTTGGGTGCCTTGAACACAACAGCACTCGTCAGTTTGACGAAATCATCCACCAGAACATCCATCTGACTTGTGTGGTAGGCATGGGGCACATTAAGTTTTATGGTCTTATAACCTGCCGTTCCAAGAGCGGCCGCAAGAGCCTCTAGATTTTCCAATGCTCCACCGAGTACTGTTTCCTCGGGGCCATTAATACAAGAAACTTCGAAGGGAATGCCATCGGCTGCGTTCAGAATCTTTTCTTCAGACGCTCGAACTGATAGCATACCGTGTGTAGCAGGCTTACAGTGTGTCTCAAGCAGATTTGCGCGTGTTCCGACAAGGAAGACAGTATCACTATCAGATAAGACTCCTGCTGTATTCAATGCAGCATATTCACCCAAGCTGTGACCTATAACAACACTTGGAGTGATCCCATAAGAAGCCCATAGTCGTGTGAGAGCAATCTCTACGCACACGATAGCCAAATGAAGAGACACTGTGGGTACATCCCTAATATCGCAGGTGTTTTTAATGATAGGCAAAAAGGAGAGAAACCTTTGACGCTGCGCAATACCATCAAGTCGATTTACTTGCTCTCGGAAAGGTCTAGAGTCGCGATAAAGCTGTGCTCCAATGCCGATGTAGAATGTTCCTTGACCAGTGAAAGCGAAGGCTACTGGGGTTTGCTTTGGATTGGTAGGTAGCTGATCTAGAGCGGTATCAATATGAGGACGAAGAAGTTTAACAGCATCCTTAAGTGAAGATGCAAGTACCGAAACCCGGTAATTGTAATGCATCTTTCGTGCAGACAAAGTGTAAGACAAATCTGCGATAGAGATGTGTGGTTGCGTTTCCATAAAATCCACGAGACGTCTGAGGTTCTCTTGGAGTGAATATGGAGTTTTTGCCGAGATTGTGATGGGATGCGTAGGCCGAGTATCTTCGCCAATCCTTGGACGCTCCGTCGCTTCTTCCACTATCATTGCTGTGTTTCCACCGGCTGCTCCAAAGTTATTCACCATTGCCAACCTCTTCTGACTACTGCTCTTTTCCCATGGCGTCGCAGTGTATGGTATGATTATACGCCTTTGATCCAAGTCCTTGGGCAATGCAGGATTGAGCCCAGTCTTGATACCAACATGTGGAGGGATAATACTCTTTTGAAAAACAAGCATAGTTTTGATGAATGCCATGATACCAGCAGCGGCTTCTCCGTGGCCAACATTCGATTTCACAGATCCAATATGAAGGTCTGTGGTTCTCGGCTGCCCGTTCGCAAAGACTTTGGTAACTGAGCTCATCTCGGTTGGATCCCCCGCACCAGTCCCAGTTCCGTGGAACTCAACATATCCTACAGACAATGGATCAATCCCAGAACGCTTGATCATTTGGTTGAAAAGATGAATTTGTGCTAAATCGTGGGGGTGTGTGATAGATACAGCCTCAGCCGAATGATCAGTGCCTGCAGCAAGAACGACCGCGAGGATATTATCATTGTCAGCTTCAGCGTCTTCCAATCGCTTGAGAACCACGCTTCCCACGCCATCAGCACGACAGTACCCATCTGCTCCCTCATCCCATGTTTTGCAAGCTCCAGTAGATGATAAAAAGTGGCCCTTGCTCAAGCCAGCGTAAACATCTGAGTTTGTAATGATATTCATACCGCCAGTAATTGCCATATCAATATCACCGCTCCAGAGAGAGGTACAGGCAGCTTGAATAGCAGCCAGACTTGACGAGCAAGCTGTATCAATGCTATAACTTGGTCCCCAGAACTTCATGAAATAATTTATGCGACCGGGACCAAAAGCTCTACATCCACCAGGAATGAAGTAGGTTCCGATATCCTGACCAGTGTTGACTTCACGGTAATCATCGCTAGCGCATCCGTAAAATGTACCGACACGACGCTGATGAACACCTCTGCCATGAACATAACCAGAGCTTTCCAAGGCTTCATAAGCTGTAACTAGAGCCAATCGATGCATGGGATCGGTTTGCTCTGCTTCACGGGGTGACATGCCGAAGAACAAAGCATCAAATAGTCCCGGGTTGTCAACAAAACAGCCATAGGGTGTTTTAGATGTGTTAGACTTCTCCCCTGTCGGATCTACATGGCTTTCGATATCAAACCGATCAGCCGGTACCGGTTTATGGACATCGCGACCCTGCGCCAACAAGTCCCAAAACTTTTCAGTGTCGTCTGCACCACCAGGGAATCGACATGCCATACCCACGACGGCAATTTTGGCGGACTTTGAATCACGTGGTGGGCTTTGTTCCAGATCTAGACTCATTACGGCTGGCATCATCGTCTGTTGAGATAGAGTCGTGGAAGGAAGCTCCGTCTTCCAGCGTCCAAGGACGCTCTCCATATAATGTGAAGGTTGTAAACTCCAAAGTTGCACAACATCTGGTGAGAGCCTCTTCAAACCTGCGGATACACCATCAATGGTCTGATCCCACTTAATGCTCTCCGTTAATATCTCAGTCATCATCTCTGTGAGCAATGATGTACCATCCGTCGCCTCAAATGGTCGACCTGTAACGGGAGAGAATATGGGAAAGCACAATCGATTATCTGGTGTGATTCCCTCAACGATCTGCTTGACATGCTCTGGACCATAAGCTTTGTTGCTATGCCACATCCCCTGAACCTTCCTCATTGGAATATTTTTCGTTCCCTTGAAGAATTCTGATTCTGAGAAAAGAGATCTAAGAGTTGATGGTGGTCCACCAATGCTCACTGATTGACCATCAGTGTTGAAGACCGACGCCATGCTTGCTTCTGGGTATGCCTAAATTGATTTTTCAGTTAAGAGTCATCGAGTCAATCGAGGTTGTGGGCTTACCTTTTCAGAATTAAACTCTGCTACTGCTTGTTGAGCATCTTGCAGATCAGCTCCATGGGCACAGTATATCCAAGCCTGAGACGCAAAGGTTAATGAATAGTGTCTAACAGAGAAAAGATCCTACGATATGACTTACCCCTTCGGCGTTTATCTCGTTGGATGAAACCTCCAGTGAGCGACAAACTTGATCTACAACAAGACCAAATCGAAATGTGACTTTGGCAATTTCGGCAGCCATGGCTGGAAGTAGCAGTGGACTGGGAGAAAGTGCAATGGCTGCTCCAGAGAGCAAACCTGGACCTCGTCCAATAAGGACGGCATTTTCTGCTCTGAAATCGTATTCTAGAGGATTAGCTTCATGGTAACTTAGAATAACAGGTCAGCATTTTTACTCGAATCCTTCAATTTCTATCTTTACTTACGCAATAAAAATACCCAATTGAAATACTAGAACAAGAACTCGCTCAATAGCTCCACCCAGTGGGGTCTTCCTGAGCTCGACAACACTATCGGTCAAGTCTAATACGCTTTCAAACACGGGAACCAGTTCTCTTTGCGACTTTTCCAATCGTCGGCATTCTTGCTTGAGAGCAATAGTGATCGCATCGACGGTCGACGCAAGGATAGAGTGATTTCTCTCTTTGCTCAAGAGATGCAATTTTCTAAACAAGATACGCTGGTCCCCTTCGGGATCCCCCTGAGGGATTTCTCCAGACAGGTAAATAATCTTCGCACGTCCCATTGTACCTAGGCCTTATCCAGGAACTTTATCATTCGACGTATCGGCAGTGATTCAGTATAAATAAATGTTTACTACGAAGCAGAGGGTGAATAGGTCAGTGGTCAGTGAGCACGTTGAAGTGGTTCAGTGAGCACATTGAAGTGATTAATTGATAGCGAATTGAGGCTCTATTGACTGATTTGACTTACTCAAACATCTATCTATATAAGTGATTGAAGCTGATTTGAAGGGATTCGGAATCCGAGTCTAGGTAATTACTGGTAGTTAATCCATGGCAGCCGAGTCCCGAAGCTTAGATCATATCGGGCCTCCGGCCGATAGTAAGCACCAAACCATTTTCTCAACTGTCCAAGGAATTTTAGGGAGGGATTAGAGGTGTCTAGATTGCCAGTATACTTCTTTAAGAGACATACTTCTTAAAGGACACTAATTATGAATGGGGTAATCCTGCAATTTCTTCGGGGACTTTTTCCGGCCAAGCTAACAGAGGGAGAATATGTAACTCGTATATAATAGCTGATTGTGCAACATCTAACAGCCCTAATCACAGCATTCATCTCAATTGCAAAGTTTAACACGACTCACTTCCCAAAGTTTAACACAATGGCAGATATTTTAGCAGAAATTAAGAAACGTTTGACCTCCGAAGATGAGGCTTCGCGAAAACTCTTCCAACGTGATTTATACGAAGCTATTGCCTCTACTGAGACACCTAAAGAGACTGCAATCCGTTTGTAAGCTTGAATTCCATACATAAAACCATGCATGAAATATTCAGCTGACTGTGATGAAGATCTCTTTACGTAGGCCCAGTCTTTGCAATCAGGATATCCGCTTTTGCTAACTCTGCTCTTTAGCCTTTGCAGGCCGCCGCAGCTCGGATCGGTCATGACTTGAGGATTTTTCAGACATTAGACGCCGAGGGTCCACAGACTTTGAGAGAACTGCAGGCTCGGACCGGTGCTCATCCTCTAACCCTTGGTGCGTTATATCCCCCGTTTATCGTCCCTCTAAGAGCTTGGCTGAATTTAATTGTCAGGCCGTCTGTTGAGATACATGGCCTCGGTCGGATTGATCCATCAAATTGCGGCAGATAAGTTCGAAGCAAACAGTAAATGTCGCCACCTTGCAGCTCCAGAGGCTGTCACAATTGTAACGCATTTGTACGTATAAGCTATGAAGAAATAATTAGGTAACACGTTCTGACAAAATATTTAGCTTCGAGAACTGCGGTCCTCTTTTCCAGGAGATGCCAGCATTTTTACGAAAGAACAATTACCAAGATGTAACAGATGGTAAAGCTACCGTCTTCCAACCTGCATACAATACCGAGCTCGATACCTACACATACTTTTCTCAGCACCCCGAGAATTTGAAGGCTCTCATAAAGTACATGGGTCTAGAGCAGGGTGTGCGAGGTCGTTGGCTGAAGGAATATCCATTCGAAAAGCAGACCCAAGACTGGAATCCAAGCCTCGAGGAAGCGCTCTTTGTTGATATCGGTGGTAATGTGGGACATTACTGTGCGTTGTTTAAAAACAGATTCCCTGACATTCCAGGTCGTATCTTGTTAGAAGATTTGCCTGACACTTTGACTCATGCTCTACCGACGCCGGGAGTCGAGAAGCTGGGACATGACTTTTTTCAGCCACAACCGATCAAAGGTAAGAGTGAATTATGATTTCAAACGAAGATAATTGAAATTAAATACTCATTTGGTTGATTATTAGGTGCCAAATTCTATCATTTAGGCTGGGTCCTCCACAATTGGAGCGACGAGAAAGCAAAGGTCATTTTGCGCCAAATAAGATCGGCCATGACGCCATCATCTGTGTTGCTCATAAATGATATGATACTTCCAGAAACGGGAATTTCGCCATTTGCAACTGCGTTGGACTTGATTATGCTTGGTGCATGTGGAAGCTTAGAACGAACTGGAGAGCAATGGAAAGTACTGCTCGGAGAGGTCGGCCTAGAAATTAAGGCTGCCACTGTATATGATTCTGAATCCTTCCATGGGATGATCTCTGCTACTCTAGCATAGAAACAACATAATAGATATCAATTTCAAGTTTATGAGAATCAAATTGATGACGTTTCTTAGCCTTACAATAAAACCGAGGGGCCTGTTGAGAGATTTTAGATTGTTTCAAGCGACTGTCATCAAGCTGAGAACTGACCCGGTAGGAAGTCAAGCATCGCCACATACCTAGGTAGCCAGGGCAGTGAGTCTGGTGCTCGACTTTGTATAGTGCTCAACATACAGTCGAGAGGCACCCTCTGGACCCTGATGGCTCTTGAGTTAAGTTGATAGAATCCCGGTGCGTCTCCAAGCCAAAGCATCCAAAAGATTAAGTGGTCTGCTGATCCAAACCCTTGGAAGATTCACCATGATTTGACTGATCAAGCACTCTTGGGCCCAAATAAGAACGCTAGTAATGTCTTTCGGAATGGATTAGAGGCATCGTCTTAGTATAAGCAAAAGTGGGCGTCAATCGGTGCCAATTCAGTACAAGCAAATTACAGGGTTAACCGATATCCCTACATCGTGCACACCCCTGTATCGTGCACACTTTTATTTCTTTTAAAAAAGATATTCTAAATTCAATATATAATTAATCAATTATTGAGTTCTATTAATAATTATACATAATATATTATATTACTATTTATTTCTTATAAAGTAATCAAAATATAAAAATAATTATTATATATAATATAATTTCAATATTAAAATTATTAATATAAAAATATTATATATTAATTTATTTATTAATAGAAATAACGAAAATTGATTTTCAATTTCTTTTTTATAAATTTAAATATATTTTAATATAAAGAAATAAAAAAATCAAGTTTTTATATTATAAGTTTGATATTATATTAATATATTATTTAAGTTTTTATAAATAATCTTTTCTTTTAAAAAAAATTGATTATAAATCAAGTATTTTATAATGATTTTTAATTTTTTCAATTATATAATATTATTAATAGATTAATTTTGATTAGAAAACTAAAAATAACTATATTTTATTAAATATATATATATATATTATCAATTATTAAAAAATTATAAAATTAAATATTAGAATTATAATAATTAATAAAAAATATTCTAAAAAAGATTTTTTTTTTAAAAAAAATTTAAAAACAGAATTAATTTGAATATTAAAAAAACAGAATATATATAATATTAAATTAAAATTATATTTAATTTGTAAAATTATTAGAAATATTATAAAATTTGAGGATTTTTTTTAAAAAATAAATTCTTTTAAAAATAGATTTATAATATTTTTTAGTTTTTTTAAAAAAATAATAGATTTATTTATTAAAAAATTAGAATATTTTTTTATTTCTATTTTGTCGTTTTATATATTAATTATAATATAATAAATTATAGTTTTTAATTATTTATAATTTTTTTATAATTTTATTATTATTATATTATATATTTTCTAATATATAAAAATTCTATTTTCTAATTAAAATCCAATAATAATTTCAAATTCTTAAAATCTATAAAAAAACATTTTAAAATATTTTAAAAAGAATTTTTAAATTCTTTTTATTTTTTTGAATATTATACATATTTTTGAAATTATATTTAAAACTTAATTTTTTATATTTTTCAGAATTTCAAGCTTTTTTTCAATAATAATAATATAAATTAATTCAAAAAACTTTATTTTTAATAATATAAATTTATTCTAATATAAATTTTTATTAAATTATTAATATCTTAAAATATTATTTTTTAAAATCAATTAATATTCTATTTGATATTTCAAATTTATCAAAAACTTATTATTATATTTAACTGATCTTCAATCTGTTTTTTATAAATTTTAATATTATTATAAATAGTTTTGGATTTATAATCAATTTTTAATTCAATAAATTAAAGCGTGCAAGATACAGGGTCGTGCACGATGCAGGGATATCGGTTATCCTCAATTTAAGAAATTAGTCAGTAGATGTAAAACGGTCAAAAGAATGGTTTGGGTGCTTCGAGTGTTCCCACGAATCTGAACATCCTAGACGACTGAGTTCTTTATACTGGATTCAAGGAACAAAGCCTTCTCATGTCGGATCGACAGATTATTGAAAATGCCATAATCGGTTAAGGTTAAGGCTGACATCACGTGAACGCTCACAAACGACATCCAGATCACCGAAAAAGTTGCAAAGCTCCTCGAACCGTATTTTTCTGCAACGCCAGCAACATTTAAGTGGTCCCGCTCAATATCTAGCTTCTAAAATTGTCTGGATTTCGGGACATTCGCTAAAGATCTTCCGCCGCACCGCGCGATCCCGTGAGTATTTCCGTATGACAAGTGTCAAGAATTCCTCGGAGCTCGGGGGCCGAATGATGAGAAGTCCATCTTCATGTCTCAATTAGAATATATAATAGATGAGGTAATATGGATCAATGGGAATCTGCCGAATGCACTGTGAAGCTTCTGGTATATACGACCTCTAATTCACATATAATCACTTAAAGAATGTCGTCCCCTCACGTGCTTATCATTGGTGCTGGTATGAGCGGCCTCACGCTCGCGCAACAATTGAAGAAAAATAACATTCCTTTCACCGTTTTTGAGCGAGATGTGAGAAATGACTCTCGTGGTCAAGGTTGGGCGCTCTCCTTGTTTGGAGAAGCCTATGACTTGATGAAGACTTTAATGCCATCGGAATTAGGACCGGTCGAGCAGACAAGCCATCTTTATCCTCTCGATCTCCAACCACAATTCTCTTTTTATGATATTACTCGTCCAGAATTTCGGGTTGGTGTCATGGCGGATGACACTCTCAAGGTTGTACGGGCAAATCGACGAAGAATGCGCGAATGGCTGATGCAGGGTATCGACGTACAATTCAATAAGCGCCTGCTTCGCGTAGAGGAGCACGGGGATAAAGTAACAGCACATTTTGAGGACGGCACTTCGGCAACAGGTGATTTTCTGGTCGGTGCTGAGGGTACACGTAGTGTGGTGCGCAGACAGCACTTCCTTAAAGACCAGGATGTGATGAAACCATTACCGATCGGCTCAATCTTTGGCGAAATCTCACTCAGCGGCGACGATTTCTCGGAGCAGCTCACCAACTCACATTCGAACTACATCGTCATGGACCCTAGACTGAGTGGGGATGAGCAGACAGCTATATTTTGCGCCCTCAACCGAGTAAGCCCTGATGGCAAGACTGGCTATTACTACTATATTCTTCTTTGGGTAGACAAGAATACTCCTAAAGTAGGCGAGAAAAAATGGACCGAGTCAGCATCGCAGGAACAATTGGCAGCATTTGCGCGCGAGAAAACCAATCATTACCCATACAAGCTCCGCTCCCTAGTCGACAAAATTCCCACTGAAGGATACAACACTCCTGGCTTCCAGCTTCAAAGTGTGGAGTTAGAACCTGAACAATTACCACCTGGAAGAGTGCTGTTAATTGGTGATGCAGCGCATTCGATGGCCCCATGTAAGTCTCACAATCTCCGTATTTTCCTTTTAGTTTAGCATTGGATTCGTTGAACCATATACTGACTTTGGGGATTAAAGTCCGTGCTCTAGCCGCAAACACTGCTTTCGTTGATGCATTCAGGCTCAGCGATGTCCTCGCGCGCGCGCGGGACACGCAAGCCTCAGGCGAAGCGCTGAATGATCTTATTTCGGCATTCAACGAAGATATGATTTCACGCGGCAAGTTCGCGTCTAGCGTGTCCAACACAGTGCTTGAGGCCTATGGCGAAGAGGCTAAATTCATTACATTCGGTAGGGAAGCCGGATTGATGCCACCAAAGACTGTAAAATTGGAGGATGTAAAGATTCTAGCTTAGAAGAAGTTCGAACTTGTTAGGCAGTTAATTAGTTCAGCGTATTTTTAGATAAATATAAAGGCGTATCTCCTCTTCAACTTAAATAGCTTTTCTAAAATAGAGGAGCTCATTCAATTACAGGTTGAACAATTCGTTTAGTGGACATTCTGGAATACACGGTTTTATGCCGCTTTAGACATTCGGTCGATTGTAGTGGCTATTCTGAATTAAAGTTGAATAAATTATCAACCTCTAAGAATTGTTGTTCCCACAACCCGCGCGCGTTAGGTCAGCCTTCGGTAAAATGAACTCGAATGACAAAAATTAGACTCTTCGGTCGCGAATTATCCTCTCGCGGAGCTCGGATACTCGGCTTTTTCATACTAATTAATTGGAATTTACAAGTAACCTAGGAACCGTCTTAGTTTTCTGGCAAACTAGATAATATTGACGCGCGCGCACCTCTATCCGAAAAATGGCCTAGAATCCTCTTCAGCGCGCGCTCCCCCTTCCTAGCGGGGTTTGCGGTGGTACATTGGCTCATCTTGTTTCATTGTTCTTATAACTCAATAATCTCAATTAACTTATTTTGTTGAAATTCATTCAGATTTGCTATTTGAACACAAATCAAAAATGGCAACAGTCGACGACGAGACAAGTACGAAGCATGACGGCCTATCAAATCGCGAGCCATCTGGAACACTAACTCCATCTACGGGAACCTCTGATTCTCAAAAGTTGCCAGAGGCTGATTCTGAAAAGGCGATAGTTGAAAATGAAGATGAGCAATTGGTATGTTCACAAGATTAGAGATGTAGATGCAAAAAGCTGATTTATATGCCACCATCAAGATTGTGACCTGGGACGGTGTAGACGACCCCAAAAATCCCAAGAATTGGTCTTTCAAGCGTAAATGGGGCATCACTGTTGTAGTCTCGCTTATTGCATTCATGACGGGAATATCTTCTGCTATCATCGCGCCCGCTAGCAATGTCATCGCCGAAAAATTTGACATCCACACCTCTTTTCGAAAGCAGCTCAACTTCTCTATCATTCAACTTGCTTACGTTATCGGGCCCCTGGTGCTAGCTCCGCTTTCTGAAGTATACGGACGTTCGTTTATTCTTCAAGCCTCCAATGTTTTCTTCTTAATCTTCAATTTCGTGAACGGCTTCGCAAATACTGAAGGCGAGTTCCTGGCCTTCCGTTTTCTTAGTGGTCTTGGCGCTTGTGCTCCTTTGACAATTGGTGGGGGTGTCTTGTCTGATCTGTGGCGTCCAGAGGAGATCGGTATGGCCATTGGACTATACACTCTAGCTCCTTTGCTTGCTCCTGCCCTCGGACCCTTACTCGGAGCTTGGATTGTCGAGAGGTCTACATGGAAATGGTGCTTCTTTTCCATCACTATTTTCGGAGTGATTGTGCAAACCCTTGTTTTCTTTACACTGAAAGAAACCTACGGCCCACGAATTTTGCAAATAAAAGCCGAAAAGTTGCGCAAAGAAACCGGAAATGACCAGCTGCGGACGGCATTTGAGCTCAAAGATTTGCGTCTCATTTCTATCATGCGAACTTCGCTCGTTCGTGTCGTTATATTGCTTACCACTCAACCCGTCGTCATGTTTCTCTCCGTGTATTTTGCGATGGTCTACGGAATCATCTACCTTATGCTGGTGAGTACTCACCCAATGTCTATCTTCGATACTAGGTTAGAAACTGATTTACAAATTTCTTCTTTTAGTCTAGCTTCCCGTCGTTGTGGACAACTTACTATCACGAATCCGTCGGCATCGGTGGCCTCAACTATATTGCTATCATGATCGGCTTGACTATCGGTGCACAAGGAGGTGGTCGTATCGTAGATTATGTATACAAGACCCTGAAAGCCCGATCGCCTGATAATACTGGAAGGCCCGAATTCCGCGTGCCCCTTCTTTTCTTCTCCACTTTCTTGGTGGCAGCGGGACTTTTCATGTATGGGTGGTCCGCTGAAACAAGAACTTTCTGGCTTTCGGCAGACATTGGTGCCGCTATCTTCTCTGTAGGGGCAGCTATGACGTTCGCTTCAATCCAAACATATATTATCGATTCCTATTCGCTATTCGCTGCATCTGCTATAGGTGCGACCGCGGTGCTGAGAAGTTTGACTGGGTTTGGGTTCCCGCTTTTTGCGCCTGCTATGTATAACAAACTTGGTTATGGATGGGGTAATAGCGTGCTCGGATTCGCGGTTCTAGCCGTTGGCTATGCTGGGGCTCTGATCCTCTGGTTTTTCGGGCACAGGTTGAGGGAGGCAAGTCCATATGCGAGAGGAGGTGGGTAAAGGATCCAAAATGAACAGTTTGTACCCAGTCGTACGGAGAAGAAGGAAATATGACATGTGTATATCATTTGAAAGGCGAGATAGGAATCGGTTTACTAATTCTAGTTGAACCTTTCGATGTTATATAAGCCAATCTGAAATTAGATTAGAGGATATTGTAGAAAGATTCCCATGATTGGTGGAGACATTCCTCACCATTAGAGATAATGCATATATAGCCTTCATACAACGTCGACCGATCTTGGGTTTGCTTCAAGCACCAGCTTACGGACGTATATGTGTAATCATGAAATGCATCCGTACGCCACTTGGGCCGAAAGCATTGGGAGGGGGATGATGTCCAAAATAATAGCTTTTAAACCTCACATCAAGGTCATTGACGCGAGTACCATGTAAAACTTCAATTCTGTTTCAAAAACCAAAGTGGATCATGGTGCCATCAGCGCAAATGCAAGTGAGCCAAATGATAAATTTCCTTCAGTCGTGCCAACAGGGGATATATCGAGTGGAAAAACTGGTAATTGCGCATTGATACTCTATAGCATGATATCAGCTGCTGACCAATGGGGTACAGTGTATGGAATGAGTTGCTATAGCCCTATTTCGTCGAATCGGACAGCATTTGTTACCTTCGAACTAGCTAGGATGATATCAATTTATGAATTGTCGATTGATGAATTGCTGTTATTAGATGCCTGAGGCATTATGGTCCGTGGCGCCTAGGTGAAATGGATTACCTAACATAAGCTGACCTTTGGACTACTTCACAACAACATCAATTGTCAATTCTTCTCGCATGTATACGACTAACCTTGGAAGTTCTGCCTTCTCGATCTCATGTACGTCGTTATTATTTTCTGTTTTCGATCAATATGAACAGAAGTTCTAACGGCTGCTGGACTTGTCGACTACGGCGCAAAAAGTGCGATGAGCATCGTCCTATTTGCAATGAGTGCATGACGCTCCACATCTCTACCTGCAATTACGGCGCCAAGCCAGCATGGATGGACGGCGGTATAAAACAAGAAGTAATGACCAAGAAAATCAAAAACGAGGTCAAGCAGCATGCTCCTTATCGCCGCCGTGGTAAACGGGAGTCGACTACCTCTAATCTCAACGTTTCTATTCCAGGACTTGCAGATCAGAAATTAGCTAGTTTCAATATCCCTCTTCCAGAATCTGAAGCTCAAAGTGAAGCCAGTTCGTATACACATGATACTAGCGCGAATTCTCCAGATATACCAACTGTCGCTTCTCCTGTTAACACCCAAACGATCTGTAAGCAAGTACTGCAGATAAGACCTTTCGCACAGTCGGACTCAGTGCTACTCGTGTTTTACCTCGAACGCATCCTTCCGTTTCTGTTTCCTTTCTATCGGCCTGCGCCACTCCATGGTGGCCGAGCATGGATTTTGGATCTGGCTATCAGCAGCCCCGTGGTCCGTCAAGCTATCCTTTGCCAGAGCTCATATTTCTTTGCATTGGCACACGGAACTTCTACCATCAAAGACGATCGTATGTGGGAAGCTTTACTCGAGCAAACGAGAGATGCTTTTAACATGTTACGTAATTCTATTACAATCATCGAGAGCTACAACGAAAATGAGCACATACTTGGTAGTGTCCGCGCTATGGCTGCTGTCATGCAGCTACAACGTTTCGAAATTGCCATCACTTCATTTGACAATTGTCAAGCGCATCTCAATGCCGCTTTGACAATTTTTAGGAAAGTTGTTGATGTTGTTGGAGCTGACAATCTAGCTAGCTCTTCCAACACATTTCAAAGTATTCTCAGTCTTCTGGGTCCCCCTACATGGATCTTGCCAGCCCAACAAGCTGAGATATCTAGCTCTGAGCAAGCTGCTTTTCGCTTTTCAACAGCTTTGTTAATTTTCGATGACATCATCGCGAGCACCGCTTTCCAGGAGCGTCCGAAGCTGTACGACTATCACCAAAGCCTCCTTTGTAAAAGTGATGGGGTCGATGCTGTCCCTCCTATCAACCTTGAAACTACGGTGGGATGTCAGAATTGGGTGCTTAAACAAATCGGCGAGATCGCTGTTTTGGATGCATGGAAAAAGCACTGCAAGGCAGCTGGCAATCTGGATGTTATTGAGCTGGTACAGCGCGCAGCAGCAATCAAGAAAACGCTAGAGGCTCATGTTTCACGTTTTGAAACTGATCTGGTGTCTGTACCTCAGGAGAGCAATTTACTAGACGACATGTTTGCAGCAGAAGACTACACTGGACAAGCTCGGACAATCGCTCGGCAAACCTCATTAGTAACTCGAATTTGGGCGCATAGTACCTTCCTTTATCTGTCTGTTGTCGTATCTGGGTGGCAGCCTGCCAACCCTGATGTAAGGTATCATGTAGCTCAAGTTCTTGAGCTGTTGACGCACCATGTATCACCTCCAGCATTATTGCGGACAATGGCCTGGCCATTTTGCGTCGTAGGATGCTTGACGGAATCTGCGCAAAAAGCCCGGATTCGCGACATGGTAGATTCTCTACGACCGGCCAGCCGCTTCAGCACTGTGCGCCGTGGCTTCGATATTATAGAAAAGGTGTGGAATGATAGGGCCATGGGTAATGCTGGCGAATTCGCTACATATTTTCGAAGTGACACCACTCTTGTGCTACTCGTTTGAAGATGTAAGGATCACATCGATTTTGAACTCTCAATTTCAAGCTTTTCAAAGTGTGTTCAAACAATAATATGGATATTAAGAAGTATTCTTATCAATTCCGAGGCTCTTTTCCGCAAATCTTACCAATCTCTATGATGCAATCGATTTTGGCCCTGTATGTTTCCAATACTTGCTTAGTCAATTCAGCGGTTTCGATATTCATCCATTCTCTACTTTATTACGTCCGTTACTCAGATTCAAATGTCAATGAATTTGGATCTACCTAGCCGATAGGATTCATCTTGTTGCAGAATTTAGTTGACAGAGAACGTCTTCAATGATTTCGACATCGGATGGAAGAAAAGGAGCCAGATCTGCTTTGAGCACTTATATTGAAAGGATAAAATGTTTTTAATTTTTTATTTGGCCATTTCACATGCGCTAGCTAAGAAGCCAATTGATATCTAAAACTTGGTATAACCTTTGTCCTTCACAAATGTAGCATGCCATGGAACGTTCTCGGCGCCACTCGCTGCCAATTGCGAATAGAAATCGGCATGCGCGGGCCCGTTGACCGCCTGGCCTGCGATCTTTCCGTCGACTTGGCGCTGGTCTGCGTAAATGAATCTGGGGAAGGACGTGTCAGTGGACGATATACTGCAAATCTCTCTTTCTCTCTGGGTGGAACATGATTTGGAAAAGAAAGGATGGACAAGAACTCACCGGTAACCCTTGGCTGTATACGCTCCATCAGCAACACCAAGCCAGTAGGCAGTGGCTGCCTTTCCCATACCACCGTTCAACAGCATTGGCACTGGCAATACAGCGACATTACAGATGTTACCTGTGTAGATGAAAACCTTCTTGCTCTCTGCGGGTAAAGTTTCCCAGCCTTTGATAGCTTCTTGTGCGGCAATAAATGGAGTGACAACATTGACGTTCAGATCATTGGTAACACGAGCCTGCGGAACAACAAAGTTAGCGGTTTTATTAATAAGGTTTCTGAGGGGAATTGAGCATATAGCTCTCGCCTCCGAAGCAAATTGGGATATTGAGGCACTTTATGATGCGCAACCAAAGTGGCTGGGAACTGGGTTGATGACGACTTACACTTGGGATAGACAACGCTGATTCTGCATCGGGTGGAGGAGTAATGGAACCGGCGTTGTATATGACTACGCTAGGAGCCGCTAAGAATTCGCTCTTGACTTTGTCGAAGATAGAAGCCAAGATGCTGGGGTCGGTGTTGGCAAAATCGGCTGAGAGAGAAAGATAGCCCTTCTCATTGACGGAGTTTGTACCTTTTCTCGAGACAATGGCGACTTTGTATCCTTCTGCCGCGAACTTTTCAGAGACAGCTTCGCCGATACGTGGACCTGAGCCGAGAATGAGAACGGTTTTGGTAGCCATTTTTATTGAAGATGTCGAAAAGCTTCGTGTATTGAAACGCAATTTTGCACAGAATAATCTCATGAAATCAAGTTGTATGTATAGGGCAGGAGAAGTGCTGTTTGATTTCTCATAGATGCCAAACCCCTCTCTCCTTATATCAGCAATCAAGTTATAAGCCGCGCGGGGGCGAGACGCAAAATCCGATCGCCGCATTCGCAATATTCCTAGAAATCTTATCTTACATTCCTATTTTGAGCCCTTGCTCTTGGTTGGCTACGATGGCGGAGTGGACCCTGCAGCATAAACCCAGTGTGCATCATGCACGGATACCGTGATTTAGGATAAACGGCGCGCGGCTTACTTAAGCCGCGCGGGTGTGGGTCCCGGGCTTAGAAGTCAACCTCATTAATTTAAGTCCATGCTTTTCTGGCGATATCACATCATTTTTGATTTTCCCACTTCTCACCTGGATGCCCCAATAAGAATTCTATCCGCGGGTCAAGAGTAAAGCGCGCGAGACCACCCTGTCGACAAAAAATGCTTGATCTTCTAAGCAGGATCAACATCACAACATTCTGTTTCGGGATACGGCCTCCACCTGCTTTCGGATCAATAGTTGAAGGATCTCGATATGTCTACCTGAAATCATCTGACATGCAAGGTCAATCACAAACAGTTCCCTTGCTTTACGGGCACCGTATCATTGCCAAAGCATCATCTCGCGGCCAAGAATGCTTGTCTAGTGCGCATGCAATCAGACGAGTCAACAATGCCTTGCTCACGACTATAGATTACGAGGTACCTTTTGTGTTCTTGCAGCCGGACTAACTGGTCATGATTGGGGAGTGGGATGAAAACTGCAAACAGATTGAGCTAGGAACGAATGCAGCTCTATATCGACCTGGAAGAATCAGAGGCGGAAACTTGCATTGCCGTAAACTGGCCGTAGAGGTTTTGATGTTCATTTCATTGATTCTGCTTACAGTAACATTGGAAGGCAATGGCGAGATTCTGTCTTTGATGCCATTCTTGCCCTCGGCTTTCGAATTCCGTCTCATAGCCTTGAATTACTCTCGATCAAGCGACCTGCGAGAGGAGGGCATCTAATTACTCACGCGCGGGCTCCATTATACTTGATGTGTCAAAGACCTCACTGATACCTTAGGACGGCTATTCTCCCTGAACTGCGTTTTTGTCCCGTGAGCTCTGCACCTACACATTGATGGCGTTACGTCACCTTGGTTTATGCTGGCTCAGGTAATATTCTATTAGTGAAAAGTCACGTGCAGTACATGATACAACGTAAATGATTTCTGGATTAAAATATTAGACTGAGCGCGAGCTCTTTAATCAAATAGACCAGCTTAAGTTGTGGAGATATCTACCGTCGGGCTATTAGGTTGAGATCAAGACTGTTCCGGCTCTTGAGAATCACTCCATTGATTCACCAACAGGTTGGTTAATGATCCAGGCCAGCAGGTCGGACATAAGTTCGCAATGTGTAAAATCAGTACAATATCCGAAGTGAATCAGGTGTTCCAAGCTACTTGGGTGATTTATTGATTGGAAGCTTCTGGTTATCGTACTACAGTTCGGCCCATCGTAAACTCTAGTCATCACCAGAACCACTATGAATTGTATTTATACACCACAAATACTTCGCTATGTTGAGAGCCTCAACGAAAAAGCTGTCATCAATGTATTTTCTACCTCAATTCTTCCTCAACGAAATCTCAATGATTGAGTCTGTGCTTCCATTGGGCGTCTGCAACATCACGAAGTCAGTACTGTCTATTGTGTATGTCTTCATATCAGATTACGGAATGTACTATTGAAGAAATGCTTACGATAATGCGTGTCAACTCAAGATTAGAATCTGCCTCGGTGATGATCTCACTCCACTCAGATTCGCTTCGTTCTTGTGCATTTAGCATTTGAACCATATTAAGGTCCCTAATTCTAGTGAAACATCAGCAAAGAATGGTTGACTTCGAAGTGAAAAACATACCGCAGGTATCGTTCTGCAATACTAGACATTGGTCTGTTCGATGGCGAAACGACAATTTCGACTAGCAGAATCTTGCTTTCAGGCTTCATGGCCGGTACAATTTGACGAATGATTTTGACACTATTCTCATGCGACCAATCGTGACAGATATGCCGCAAAACATAGACTTCTGCGCCCGTTACCGGTTGAGGATCAAAAAAGTTATGCGGCACAAACTTGACTCGGTTGGTCAATTCGGATGACAACTGTGCAGCTCCTTGCTCAACATTTTTCTTGTAATCTTCTACCACGAAATTTAGCTTCGGGTAATTTCTTGCAAGTTCTACACTCAAGAACCCGGATGAGCCACCAACCTACACGAATCTAAGTTAGCTTTTCAGAACAGGAACAGGGACACAAGTCAAGCCTACATCGACAACAGTAGCCTCTCCAAGCTCTGTCCACGGATATCCCGTTATAACGTGCTTTTGACTCTGGCTAGGATCCTTGTTAACACCCTCCATCGCACCGACGAACCGAGCCATCAACTCTGGGCTTTGCTCGAGGTATTTGAACAAGCCATCTTTCGTGTTAAATGCAAGACCAAATGCTGTATCCTGTGCAGCAGTGCTGTCTTTATATTTCTCCAGCGCTTCGGCTAGTTTCGCACTGGCAGGAAACATTTGCTCAACGAAGAAGCCGTAGTAATTCATCATGTTATGATTTCGCAATAGCAGAGCTGACGATGCGGTATGAACAACATGGTCTGGAACATCCTCTCGCAGCATTCGATTCAACATTGCTTTACGCACAACCGTTTTAACTTTTCTTTCGGACAGACCAACCTTTGCAGATATTTCTGCATAAGTAGCTCCACCATCTAGCGGAATTGCTGGGAGAATGTTAAAGTGATAGATGACTTGTTGAGCTGCATTGTCAAGGGCCTAGAAATATATCTTAGCATGTCAAGCTTCACATCATTCTCGATGGTACTTACAGCACCCCAAACCCGAGCCAGAACCTCCCGTGGACCGAGAAACAAGTCGTGAAGCGCACTCGTGTCATCTATAACCGCCATCCGTGCTGCTTCAATCTCAGATTCACCATCAGTATCGGGGAATTCATCTTCCCCATCTTGATCGAAAGACACTTTAGAATTCTTGCCAACCAGCCATTTCTCAACAATAGCTGAGTTTCTGGCGATTCTTTCACTGAGTTCTTTGATAGACGACATGCTGAATATTCACGTGGGATTTCTTGTGGAATTGGCTATTGCAGCATGAGCTCCCGATGATGCTATATGTATTCTTGGTTACACTGAAGTGTCAACAGGAGTCTGACATTCTAGTTTGAATCGGGGCTCGGCCGTCCACTTTTCGGCTAATTCCCCGCTTCGGCCGGCCGGGCTACACAGCTATTTTCAAAACGGCTCTTTTTGGACGTTTTGGGGTTTCCCTGCACGAGTTTCAGTTCACACAAATATCACTTCTGAACGGAGCAAATCTATCAAAAATTGGAAATTCATGTGCCGAACTCCGATTCTGTCAAGATGCAATGCTAAATTTTTAAAGTTCTTGCCGCAGAATACCTGTGATAGAAAGTAGGGGGCTAGGCTGGTAGTAGTTCTAGGTAGCGAAACTACTCTAGTGATTGAAGCTTCACTTAGTGTTCAGTAGAGAGGTATTTGGATTAATTTATATTATATTACTACACTAAATTGGTCGAAGAAAACGTTTTGCTTTGAGGATTGAAAGTCATATGAATTGTCCCATTCTTCTCTGTTGAAACACTTGGCTCTTCGTGAGTTCGCAAACGCTTCCTAGGGAGTTCAGATGCCAGCTCAGGCCATGTCATAGCTTGTTCCGGGCTACTGTCAGCACCGCTTTGTCTCAGCTGGTTGAGTAGATCTGATATACTAGCATCTGAGGCATCTGCTGAGTTTGCCGAGCCAAAAGGTGTATATGGTCCTAACGATGATGGGACAGATGAGCCAATATCCCAAGAGAAAGGTGTACTTGCAGCAGGTTGTGGTGAGAAAGAAAAAACTGATCCATCTCCTATTGAGCCTGGTGGGGAGATCTTGAAGAAATCTTCAGTTTGGGTATTGAGAGACATTATCATATCAGACATGGATGCTGTTGGAGCCATGGAAACTGGTTGATGCTTCTCAGGATGCTTTATCAGATTGATTGTTATAAGCAGCTGCTCGAATGTCCACGCGACTTTGCGATGATAACTGTTAGATTGCATCCGCTCTGTGCTGTTTACATAGCAGGCAGATACTCTGCGTAATAAATCGAGATCGGAATTAGACACTTGGTCATTATCTGAGGACCGTAGGAGGTCTTTGAGTAGTATGAAGAATGCTGGCAGTGAGAAGGCGTCGAGTATACTGGCAAAAGAGACTGTATTCGCTTCAATGGTGGATGGCTTCTCGTCCCGATTGGGATTAGCGATCTTCTGACAAGCTAGAGTGTTGAAAGTATCGATAATATGAGGATCTTGAACTCCGTTTGCTATCAGTAATAAGAGGCAACTGGCTCTTGCGTCGGAACGTAACTGTTCGGCATGTTTTTGCCCAGATCCGTGCTGTAAAGCAAGTATACGAGTAGCCAGAAACTCCAAAGTCAGCATGGACCGGCGGGGGTTATAAGAAGAGGCCTGGCAATTCAGAATACCATACTTTTGTGTATATTGGTCTAGTTGGCGTTCGATGGATCGCAATAATTTGGAAGCTTGTGATTTTCTGGATTTACTTGTCCGAAATGAGGCTGTATGCGTCAAGCGATACACATCATCTTGGATCATTGCTAGTTGCAGTGTGTCCGAGTAGGGTACATGGCGGTCTATCGCCGCGCTTAGTTGGGGAGCAATATTGCAATCGTGGGTCGGCAGCCAGGAAACAGAACCACGAGTAGTGCACAAGCTTTTGTCCCGGACGTACAGCGACCGTATGACTTTTGCTCGTTCCAAAGTATCATAAGTATTGGTTTCGTCAGGAAAGATTTGTGTTTGGTGGAGTCCCATGGTCCTTGCAAGCCCACAAGCGTTGGTGAAAATAAGCTCGGCCCACCCCGGCGGGTCAAATTGTTGTGCTGCGACGCTCTGTGCAATTGGTTAGCTCGCTAGTGTGATAACCAACAACACGAAATTAAACCTGTACATACTAGAAGTATCAAAGTCTGTACGTTGATAAGTCTGGGCGTGGTCAGTAATCGAGAATTGACCAGCGCAGCTCGACTCGGAAGGAATGAACGTGCAAAGTCGCCAAATAGACCGTTCCCCGATTGGGCAGAAATTTCCATACCCCAAACAAGCACTGTAATGGCTTGAAAACAGATGGCCCATACATCATCCCCAGGCTCACGATTATGCGAGTATATACGCTCGACTTGGGAAAGGAGATTGCTCTTCACAAAAATATCGGTCGCACAGTCAACATGCTGAAAGAAATGACCAATAATAGTGGTGAATTGTTGTTTCGGTAGGAGGTTGATAACGGGCTGGCTTCCAAAGGGCGGGAATGGTTCGACTACACCGGCTCTTTCACACAAATTCTGCAACATATCCTGTAAGGCAGTATTGCATTCAGTATCGTTTGCAGAAACGGCGCCAGATCTGAATTGCTTGCAGAGAACAAACAGCGACAGCGGGCCGTGATAATAATCGATTCTATCAGCCTGGTTGTAAAAGACGTGAAAGTCGGCATAGTCGTCGCTGTATGGGGAGAGACTTGACGGACAATCTTCATCATCCTCCCCATCAAAGCTTCCACCCCTAGATGCCTGTCGGGTCGATGAGTTAGAGCAAGAGTTATCCTGATCTATATTCTGCACGATGTTGTTAGATAGGCGGCCGAGATGCGATTCTATATTGATCAGGCGCTCTTTGACCCCATTTACGCTGTCAAATCTGAGTACCAATTAGACATATTTCGTTTTGTTTAGAGCAGTGAAGTAACTCACAGCGACTTCAGGTGATTCACTCTCTTGGTAGGATTTTGGTAAATGCATGTCACGCTATCGTCTTGCTCGCAATTATTGCATTGTGGGAGCTCACGGCTACAACGAATCTTGCGTTCACGGCAGCGAGTGCATGCCTGGTCTGAAACGGAGTCTTCAGAGTGAATTTGTTTCTATTCGCTCAGTTAGCGGTGATGTGGTATAGCGAAAAACATGGAGGTCTTCATGTGTACCCTTTTCTGATGGCTAGACATTTTGTGTTATTCGAAGACTATTCTGATCTAATTCACTTGGCTTTGGTAGAGTCTCTCCAAATAGATATAAAGATATGATATAGTGGCTTTAACTTTCTTGTAGGCAAAAGGGAAAGATCTAGCGCTATTCCCATGTAAGCTTAAATTACAAATGCCATTGGTCAAGGGTTTTGATTTCACTTCGTGTCAGCACTGCCAGCAGCAGCTAGTTCTCTCTACGCAGATTACTCAGAGATTCTCTCGCTTTGTAGAACAGCAAAATATCGACCTATCACAAGAACTCATGTGTGGATAACGCTTTCCCACCTGCAAGATATTAGAAGTCGAATTAACCTTGAAATCCGCACGTCGCATTCAACTCAGACAGCGATAGTTTAACGGGGCTTTAAACGACACCACCCGTAACACAAGCCGACGCTATAGCTTTCTGCAAACATCGTTGCGTCTTACGTGAAAAGTGACCACAAATATAAGCACACGTCAGCTGCAAATCAAACCACTCTCGAACCACTACTAGTCGTATGGTTGTAAATCAACTCGAGTTATCAGTCTATAACGAGCGATATGACATCTTCATGTTCCAATCGTTCTTCAACGACATACCAAATTGAGTTTCTCCGCGTCTCCTTATCTTGGCTGCACGATTGTCCGTAATCAAGCCTTTTCAAGGGTCGCTGCAGTGATACGGCCAAGAGGATCGGAATCCATGGATTGCGGATTAGCTAGTATAGTTGCCTGAGGCAGTCACTGGCGCTTCTTCAACCGTCGCATCCCACTTCTCGTAAAGTATTAGCCAATTGCGTGACAGACAGGCAGAATAATTTCCCAGGGGTAGAAAGAAATAAGTTCTAGAGTTTATATATTCGTATGGTCCGTTTTCTCACCGGTGAGATTGGTTCTAGTGTCGGTATCAAACTTAGTAAACCCTTGAATGGTCTATTTCTATTCTAATTCTAGACTTCTATCTAATCGACCCCTCATCAACCTCCATCAAACCAACCATAACAGTATATTTCATTCAACAGATTACAACAACCCTTCTTCCAAAACTGCCAACAGCGGTGCTTGTGAAAATAGTACTGCAAAAAAAATGCAGAGGGCACTCAGAGATCTATTCACGAATTGACGTTATCGCTAAAGAGAAGGATTCTCTTAGTATCAACCGAGAAAACCCACTCTTTTGGCTTGGCCGGCCATTGGCTACCAATCGGAAGGAGCGCTTGCGCCAGATCAACAGACAAGAGATTGAACAAAATTAAGCTTCTGTGCTTCCCGCAGCACGCCTCGACATTATTTCTATCAATGGATAAACTTGAATGTCTCAGCATGACTGTCACTTTGTCAAATTATTGCACCCTTGATGTTTAACTCTGCTCTGCAATTTGGGCTATTTTCTTGTAGATCAGTAGGAGCTTCATTTAGTCGCATTGTTACCTTATCTATTTTTACGTGAAATGCTTTCCTTACCATCCCCATGTCCTGCCCAAGTAGTGAAATAAAGTTTATTGCTTTCGCTCCCCCGTCATTCTTACTGTTTCTTCAACTCTCGGGCTACCGGTAGCCCCCACTGCCCCGCTATTTGTTGAAGTGGGGGTAGTAAGTGGAAGTTGCGGAACTTGACTTGGCAATGGCGACTGTTTAAACAAGGGATGATGAGAGGAGGTAGGTGACGGTCAACAATCTGCAGCACCGCATACGGTGGGATACAGGGGCATTGAAATCGAACGGGCCCAGTATGCTGGCCGTGGATCCAACCCAGCCTGGTATTTGGGTAGGATTGAAAGGAGGGATGCGGTGTGGGACCAGCGACATCTGCATAAGCTGCATATGCATGCACAGACGGTATTTACACGTGATCGACCTCCACTTCTTGGAGAGTGACCTCAGCAGAGGGTCATAACACTAGCTTCTGCTCCTTTGTCTCTCTGCACTAGCTAGAAGACCAAAATAGGAATTTATATAAAGAAAGGTACTGATAGAGTACTAATACGGAAAAGGTCTTAATTTTCCAGCTGTGCTAAAGTTAAAAATGCGGCTTAATAAGGTTAAGAACTAGATGGGATACTAGCTCAGTCTGCAAGCCATTGCGCCCTACGGAACGCAGGTTATGATGTTCCTTGTATCCTTAAGGAAAGACTGCCTTGCGGACAGCTTATAACCCATTAACTGCGCACAATTTTGTCTGCAACATGGAGCGAAAGGGGATCCTCCCGTTTATGACCGAAATAGGGACGGAGGATGACTTGAAGAGCGAATGCCGACGAAGAGTAGCAAATAAGAATGTAGGAAATAAGAGAAGAGAATAAGCTAAAGCTTTTATATCCAACCGAAGTTACAGGAGCAGAGTCAAGTCAGATTCCCAGCGGTGGGTGGGCAGAAGCACCGTTGGTGTAAAAAAAAAGTGGATCGACGCGGGCCTACTAGGCTAAAGTATGGCGGACTAAGCCTTAATACACTGGATAATCTTGGGATCGCTGGCCTACTTCTAGTATCGACTGGGAATAGAAAACGTTTGTTGGTATGATTTCCAATCAGAAATTATTGGTAATCATCTAAGCCCTAGTTTGTTGGAACTACTAATGTAATGCGGGGTGCTGAAGAACAATCCTGATATGGTACAATCGAGCATTAGTGGATTCCGTATTCGGTATACAAAGTTTCTTGATTAAGAAAAGCTTCCAGCATAGCGAGTGCGATAAACCTGGTAGTTCCATGATTACCTAGAGATTCTCCGAAGGTATACGTGGATTGTAAACCCATGTTTAATTTTGAAGCAACTGCTAGCGACATCTAGATATTTTGACAATAAACTGTAGGGCCAGAATACACTACTGAATATTTTAGAATTGACTTTGGTACCTCGATTAGCTCCGAAATGACCGGTTTAGTGTAGCGCGTGGAGGCATATCCAGGTTTCCTATTGGGCGGCTCGTACACTTTGGGCTAAAACGATGCTGCAAAAACGTCTTCATCTGACCAATCGGTGTTGCTCGAAATCGCATCATCTTTGGGTCCATCTTTGGGTCCACTTTGGCACCTTTGTAAACAAGTAGCTTCACCACAGATGCAGAATCTTCCATCGCACTTGTCTGTCATTGGCGAATCGATACCTGAAGAATCTCCAGCGTCGATAGCAACTCTTCCTGACAACAAACTGGCCAGATTGCCCTGATTTGTGTCGATGTGATGTGAAGCGTTGTACTGTTAGGCATAGACTAATCGTTAAACTTCGCTCTCGCTGTGAAGCATGCAATGGATTTGCGCTCATATTTAGTACTCGAAGGAAGGGACTCCAGAACACGCATCCATTTTTCTCCCCTCTCCTCGACTGGAGCATGGATCTTTCGACGGCGCAACCTCCATTTAAGTTACTCCGAGGTACTGGATGTGATCAGATGTCAGGATCTAGTTTTCGAGTTTTGTGGGAATCGAGTGTGTTTGACACATGAAACTATCCAAGATAATCAGATAATCAAAACATTCCAAATAGCCTCGATGAACCAAACGAATGGGAATTCGAAAGTATTATCAAACGGCGCAGCAGGTAGACGATCCAAGATATTCTTCAAGTAGTGACGAAAGTGCCGGCCAACTCCTTTTATGAGTCGAATTGTGGATCGTGGGGTTGAGCTCTGGACATCTCGGACAACGTTGTATTATCCGTCCACATATTCTTGACATGCCAAGCAAAGTGCCCGACAGTCGCAGATTTTCGAGATTTCGAATCGTCCTATCCATCCAACTGATAACTCTTCTTTGTAGAGGTCGGAGAAATGAAGAAGTTACTTATAATCCGCCTCGGTGCACCGTATTTGCTCACGAAACCGTCTAATATGCGGGGAGCTTTCTCGGCTGGAGCGACTCATACTAGAACATGCCTTCGGAATGGACCAATAATTGCTCATAGAACGTCGCATGCTCTCCCCAGCTAGCTATATCTAGTTCTCCCTGTGAGCAAAATATGTCGATTGATTATTGTCGAAAGCGTTCCGTCTTATAGGAGTTCCTTAAAAAAAGTGGAAGTTGGGGACCCGAGTGGAGAGAGAGTCGAGGTCTAGGCCCCGAGTTTAACATTGAGAGATCTGCACCGAGTATAATTCCTTTTGTATAATTATAGAATCTCTATTAACACAAACTGACCCATGTAAGTACACTTACTTAAAGTATAGAGAATTAATGGTTGGAAGTCTCTAGGCAAGGCTGTGAGGCTGGAAATTATACTCGGCTGGATTTCTCGGTCTTATCCACATTGTACTTACAATATTAACCATTTATATTGTATCAAAGGGATCCCGACCACACTTAAGTCGACATTGCATTGGAAGCATAAAGAATAAACCGCGGAAGAATCAGTTTGAATATACAAGGAGCTGAGAATAATCCCTGCAACTTTGAAAGAGCTCTAGACTAGACGTTAGAGGGGACGGCCGGACAGTCTGGTTAAGGGCAACCACCACTACGTATTTAGGTTGCATAAAGTGGTACCATCCTCGCAATGATGCCTGTGATCTTTGCCTGCTCCCGAGAGCTGAATGCATGGTATCTTAGCCAGGTAACAGTGTGATGGGAAACGATTTCATTTGATGTTTATTTTAGCCACCTTGTACGATGCGACTCTTTCGTGAGACCCAGCATCAATTCCTACCCCTGGGTAACATAGAAGCACTCGGCTAAAATATCAGGTGCCAAAAGCCATTTCAAAACACTCACATTTGAGTATGTAGCTTTAATGAGAAGTGAAGGGTAAAGGATAGATTGAATAAGAGTAAAGAAAAGGATGAAGGACGTTAAACTTTTCAGTGTGTTTAGAAGGACCATTGATAAGCATTCGCGCTTTTATCCCCAGATCTCTCTTCATAATCAGTGCTAAATTGCAAAGCTAGTCATGGTTAGATATCAATATTTCTGTATAGAAACCATACCTTCTTACTATCAAAACATGAATTTCACAATTGATATAGGAGTATATAAATATCATATTTTGCGGTTGTCTAGATTGATAGGAGATCCGTCGGATAATTAAATATCCGATATATCCGATCTTCGAAATATCCACCCGAGCCACCAAAATAACTGGGTACACCCGGGGCGTACCTATCCGATACCTAGTCGCGAGGGGATCTACGAGCTCAAATGCACATGTACTCCAACTACAACTTGTTTAAAGCTCTTGTATGGAATAACAAGAAGGAAAGTTATACAATCAATGACAATTGATTTCTTTTGAAATTTGAATTTGACACCAAAGCATCGCCACAATGGCAACATCTCCATTGACTGAATTCCAATTCTTCTCCTCTCTTCCCTATGAACTTCGTCTCAAGATCTATGGCATGCTCCTCGATGAAACCCGCACCGTCCAGATAAATTGCGAAAAGGCCACTATCATCTCAACCCGCCGCCGCTACCTAAAGTCTTTCAAATCACCAACTCCCGTCCCTTCACTCCTACACATCTGCCAGGAAACTCGCGCCGAAGCCCTCGCTCACTATAAACCCCTCTTCCGTACGCAGCATTCCCCATCCTATATCTACATAAACTTTACCACCGACATCATAAAGCTTGCGGATGGGATTATTCCTTACTTGGAGGGGGAAGAACGCGACGGAATAAGAAGAATGGAGTTGGTGGTTTCGGATGGGGCATATTTTGGTCATTATAATTTAGAAGCAATATCAAAGATGAGAGGGTTACAGGAATTGGAATTGGAGGCTCAAGGAGAGGATCTGAATTCTTGGCAGCCAGAAGGACATTACTTGAGTACTATCATGAAGGAGTTGAAGGAGATGAGAAGAGAGAGACCGGATTGGTGTTGTCCAAGGGTAAGGCTTGTGCATGGGAGGTTGGGTAAAGAGTTTGGGGTAGTCGAGGGAGGTATCTGGACGGAAGCTGATGAGGAAGATTGAAATAATGAGGGTAATTTCTTTTTTCTTTTTTATTACATCGACGGTAATGGTAGATAGTTCGCTTTGAGATCGTGGTGTGGAGTGGATTTGCAAAATCATGTCTGTATCGATTTCATGTTTGACGTGCATTTGATAAGAAGTTTGCCATTGCAAATCTAATATCACAGTATGTTTGAAACTCATCAGACTTATATTCTTAGCAAATCGATGTTGTCCACGGTCTCAACATTGAGTGTCTAGATCAACATATCCTTTCCATCTCATTCTCCAGAAAAGGGGTTACGAGATGGGATCATTCCGTGGCATATCATTCGACACAATGACTTCATCCGTCCTTCAATAGCATGAGAATAGATGAGACTTCGTAGTGGCTGTACATGTTAAGCTGATGTATGAAATGACAGCCAATATGTGTTCCATACTGGGCGTATGGGCTTAGGATAAATCGAGAGTGTATGCGATTCTACATGGGATTGGCAACTATCATCGAGAATCTAGATCTCCTTTGTTAACTAATTCTTTAATACAAAACTTAACTGCAGACTTCCACTGTGATAGCACAATTAGATTCAAAATAGAGACATCCATCACGGCTCTCATAAGAAGATACTTCTCAACTCTCTACTCACAAGCGGCCTCTTCCATTTCCCCCTTCGTCTATCCACAACTAATTTGACGCGATGCCTAAGCAGGTTAGTCTAAAATACCCCGCGATAATCTAGAATTTTATTGAGGTCATAAATCATTTTCAATCTCCAATCCACAAGCTCCAAATTTTTAAACAACCGAACATCATTCTAGCGTTCGAAAATGGCCAACAACGATTCCGAAGATTCGCAAGCTGGAATAGGCATGTCATCTAGTGATCAGAAAGAAGACTCTAACCGTTACGCTCGACAAATTGGAAATCGAATGCCTCCACCACCAGAGGTTCAACTTTATGCAAATCATCCTGCAGCAATTCCACCACCTGATGTGCCATCTATGCTTCTCTCTCTTCCCAAAGGTGATATTTCTGCATGCTTATTTGTTATGCGTTGATTAATAAATATTGTAGAGATTCGACTAGAGATATATCGATATCTGATTCTTCCCGTGCGATACGTTTTTGTCGGGCGAAGGAGTGACCATTTAAGTTCCGACGATAGTTCATCATCGGATGGCTGGACCGACGAAGACACGATTTCATTCGACGGCGATAATTCAGACATGGAGATAGAGTATGATGGACCGGGGGGTATCGACGGGTTGGGAACTTTATTGTGGTCAATGGCGGAGCAACAAGGTACGATCGAAACGGATGATGATCCAGAGTTCCCGTCGAATCCCGAAGCAGAGTCGATTCTCAATGAAGTTGATCCGGCAATACCTGCACCCGACGATGTTGAAGTTGTGAACTTAGAAGATGGAGGAACGGCCACAAGAACAAAGGACGGAGGGAAGTGGGAAACAGACTCCACAAGCTCCGGTGGAAGCGACTTCGCAGCAAAATACCGCATGTGGCCTGAGATCTTGCGAGTCAACAAACAGATACACGAAGAAGCCTCTGCCATGTTTTTCACTGAAGCCACTGTCGTCATCTGTTGCAACGACCTTTTCTTTTTCAACGACAAGATTTTTAGATTGGGTACCATGTATGGTCAGAATCCTTGGAGGCACAACCCTCTCACAGCTGTCGCTAAGAAACTACCAAATGGCACCATACAGTACGATCAAGAGGAATTGGGTGGATGGGTGGAGCCTCACATATTCGCAAAATTTCAAAAGGTTGTCTTCGATTGTGCATTAGAAGAGGATCATACTGAGAACGTCCCATTATTCTTGGACATTGTGACTGGAAAATTTCATTCTGAAGACGAGACCAGATTTCGCAACTGTATAAAAAGTTTGACCTTCGTCAAAGACTTTTTCAAGATCTTATCTAAATCCCCAGTCGTCAATAAGCTCACCATCAACCTACTTGTCGAAGTCACGGCCGAGACTAACTTAGATGCCGAATCAATCGATTCGGATGATGAAGATGCATTGGATGAAATGGAGGACAAACAAAGCAAAGCGGATCTTGAGGCTAACATGGCCGCCACGGAGGTATTTATGGATTGCGGCATGTTCAAACCTTTGAAACATCTGAGAAATGTGAGGAAGTTAGAGTTTCGAACCGGCTTTGCCGACTTTGTACCTGCGGTCGATTATAAGCCGAAGGAGAAATTCCAAACTATGGCAAACAAGCTTAAGAGTTTAGTGGAGGGTAATTTCAAAGCGCCGGAAGAACCTACCAGGGGCGGCCTTCGAAGTCAGGGAAGTGTCACACAATACGGGGCTATCTAAAGGGTCGGAACTAGT